CGTCGAGGCGGCGATCCCGCCCCTGGCGCTCGCGGACTACGCCGTCGACGTCGAGAGAAAGGACGGCGCCGCGGCGCGCGCGACCGTCGTCGGCGCGGCGCCCGCCGCGCGCGAGACCGACGACGCGCCGTCCGTCGCGGCCTGGCGCGCCAGATGCGACGAGACCGACGTCGTCTCCTTCCACGACTTCGGTCTTCGCGTCGGGGAGGCGCCCGCCGCGGCGAAGGCGAAGCGCGCGCCCGTCGCGGCCGAGGCGCCCGTCGCCGACGTCGCCGAGGGCGCGAGCCCCAAGGGCCGCGCGGTCAAAGTCGTCGTCGACGCGGGCCTGCGGTCGTCGCTGCGCCTCGTGGGCAAGCACCGGCGCGCGCGCGTCTTCCTGCCGGAGGGCGTCGGCCTCGACGACGAGCGCGCGCTGCGCGCGGCCATCGAGGCGACGATCCCGCCCCTGGCGCTCGCAGACTACGCCGTCGCCGTCGAGGAGAAGGACGGCGCCGCGGCGCGCGCGACCGTCGTCGGCGCGGGCAGCGCCGCCGAGGTCGCCGCCGAGGACGCGGTTTCGCCGTCCTTTGCGGGCGCGAGCTACCAGATGGTGTCCTGGTACCACTTCTTCGAGGCGCCGCTCGACGACGGCGCCGTCGACGCGGTCGTCGCGTCGCTCGCCGCGGAGTGGCGCGGCCTCGGCGTCGTCGGCCGCGCCTACGCGGCGCCCGAGGGCATCAACGCCCAGCTCGCCGTGCCGGCGCCGTCGCTCGACGCGCTCGCCGCGGGCCACGCGCGGCGCTTCGCGAAGCTCGGCGCGGCGGCGCCGCCGCTGAACTACGACGAGCGCGTCTCCCCCGCGGACTTCGCCGCGCGGCCGCCCTTCAAGGCGCTGCACGTCCGGCGCCGGGAGCGGGTCGTCGCCGACGACGGCGGCGCCGACGGCCTGGACCTGCGCGACTGCGGCGACGAGCTCGCGCCGGACGCGTGGCACGCGGCGCTCGGCGGCGACTTCGGCGCCGGCGACGGCTCCGGCGGCGGCGACGCGCCCGTGGTCCTCGACGTGCGGAACCACTACGAGAGCGCCGTCGGCACCTTCGCGGGCGCGACGGCGCTGGGCACGGAGACCTTCAAGGACACGTACGCGGCGCTCGACGG